GTTTGATCTGCCTGGGTTTGCTCTGTTTCCTTCGGGACATGCTGCTCGGCTGCCGCTCCTGCCGTGCTCCAGGTACAGGAGTGGAGCTGGGAGGGGACAGGGGGTGGAGGGAAGGGTGACAGATCAACAGACGGGATTCATAGAGGAGCCGCTGGCCGCTTTGAGAAGCGAATTCAAATGACAGAAAAACGGGGAGAGGGAAAGAGTGTGTGCGTGTGTGACGAAGGAAGAGGGGAAGACAAACGGAGATCGGGGTGGGTGAGACGGAGAGTGAGAATGAGGGGAGAGAGAAGCAGAAAGAACGGAGGGAGGGAGCAGGGAAAGAAGGGAGACAGAAGAGGAAGGAAGGGAGGGAGGGAGGGAGGGAGGGAGGGAGGGAGAGAGGGAGGGAGGGGAGAGCTCGGCTCCTCGCTCTCTCTCTCCCTCTCTCGCCCGCTCTCCGCCGTTGCCGTGCCGCCGCTCCCCGCACCACACCGCGCTCCGCTCCGACTGACAGGCGGCAGGAGGTGCTGGCGAGGGAGGGGGCGAGGGAGGGGCTTTCCGGGACGGGGGGGCGGAAAGAGGGGGGCGTCCGTCCGTCAGGCTTGACGGGCAGCGGCTGCCACCAGCGACAAATCCGCATGCAAATCGCCCGCTGCCTCCGGGGCACGGGGCGCTGAGGCGGGAGGCTTTGATTGTCCCGGCGCTCGCTGCCAGGACTCCCGGTGGCGGGGAGAGCTGTAACTTTCCTCAAAGAGGCACGGAGCAGAACGGGCGAAGAAACTCCCGGCAGGCAGGCAGGCAGCGGCACGGGTCCGGCAGTCCGCCGCGGTGTCCTGGCAGAGCCGGGCGCCTCGGCCTCAGCGCTGCCCCTGGGAGGAGCAGGCGCTTCCTCCCGCGCCGGGCCCCTGGCCCGGGAGATCCCGCAGGGTCCGGGGTTGGGCGGGTTTCAGCCTGCCGCGGCGGAGCGCTGCCCGCGGCGGGGGTTGCACGGCCGCAGGATCCCGGCTTCTCCTCACCGGTGTCGCCGCGGTCCGCCCTGCCAAGCGGCGAGCGCTCTTCGTTCGCGGCTGTCCGGCCGCTTGCACCCGCTCGCGGCAGCTTGCGGGTCACGGGGAGCAGCGGCCGTGTGGTCATCGCGGTTTGACCGCGTGATCCATCTCTTTGACTTTCAGATGAAAGAGGAAGATAAGCCGCCTAACTGCCTAGGCTTTAATTAGTTTTGCTCTTCTAAATAGCGATAATAGCGATTTTTTTTTTTCTTGCACAGTAGAAACCAACGTCTGGCGCTTCTGTTGCTGTTACCAATTAAGTGTTTGACAAAGCTAAACCATTAGGAATGCTTATGTTTACAGTCTGTGTCTTTAGGACAAAATTTCTCTTGAACATTCTGGTATGATGACTTGAGTCATCTCATTTACATACATAGCTGTAAATGATGTGTTATGAACAGCAAGTACCTCATTGTATTGCTTGGCATTGTATGCCCTGTCCAGTTTCTCAGTGTTGCCAAACAATAACTTTGCAAAAATCTTGGGGAATAAAAAAAAAACCAACAACCCAACCACAAAACTCCACAAGAATCAGCCTGATTTCACTGGTGCCAAGTAAGGACACTTGATATCGAAACATCTTTATTACTGTGCTTCCAGAAATTTCAGATCTGACACATGAATGTGCACAACACTAAGTGCTTTTACAACTTCACTAGCAGGAATTAAATGATTTATGTTCAGGTGAACTGTTGAGCATTTCTTTAACTCTTGCCTCTGTGATCCAAATACTCTCAATAGAAACAGTTTTAAGCTTAACCTCTGAAAACATTCAGTGATTGGCCAATATTGCGAAAGTCTTCATATAAGTGGCAGAAATTCTAACACGGCGATTCACTATTTTTTTCATCATATTATGTTAGAAAATAATGCTTTTAAATGATAAGTGAATTTACAGATCCACTTTTTTATTAAAAAGAACATGACAGAAGCTGTGAACTGTATTAAAATTTGCGGTTCAGATACTTTAAAGAATCTGAGTAAATGATAAATGTTTTCCATTTAGCTGAAGTGATTGTCGTGTGCCAAATTTGTATTTCAGTTTCCTTCCTTGAGGTGTGGGCTCATGGTTAATTACCAATGTAACAGTGGTAGTGTTTTCAAGAAGACATTCTATGGCAATAGACAAATATGATTACAGTCCACCAAACAAAAAGCTTTGCTACAGTTTTCTTGCAGAATTAGGCTCAAACAGGGGCTTGAATGGATGAGACACCCACCTTTCAAATAGAAGTTAATGTTTGGTCTTTGCCCATTCTCACCATTCTTAAATCTCAGTCCAGTTCCCTAATCAGAATTAGAAATCTCTTCCTTTCATATAGGCTGACCATTCATTTCTGTTTATTTTGTTGCCTGCCTCCCACGCAGTGTCTTTAGCCTAAACAGGTAGTTTGACAGGTACCACCTCTAAACCTGCTGTTTAAATGTAAAAGAATGGAGTTGAGTACCCTGTTTCCAACATTTAGGAGATATACAAACTGCAACTTTTGAAACATTATTCAGCCGCTGTAACTTAGAAATTAATACAATATACGTGGTATAAACCATAAATAAATGACAAAACAGCAATGCAAAATGAAGCAGTGCTAGAGTCAGTATCACAAGTGTTTATTCTTACATACTGTTTAGTGTAAATTACATAAGAGCATCGTTATTATGCTGACTCCTGCTTTCGTAAATATTTAAGCAGTAATGTAAGGTAAGTTACATATTTTGTCTATTCAAAAGCATTAAGGCTGTATTCTGCTTTATCAGCTCAAAAGAGGGCATATAAAAAACTTGACTATTTGAAGAGATATGCTTGATCCCTTAAAGGATTATTACACTTAGTAATTTCAATATTCCAGTGTATTTTGGACTTGTTTACCTAAAGTTCAAGAAGTTGTTTATGAAATCCAAAAAGTAACCTACATATGCCTGCTGTTTTGAAACTGAATTAATGATGTAAATTAACAATCAGTTTTCCCTGATTCACAGAGGAACTTTCACTTAGTGCATTTTAGTACTGCATGAAAATTACGCATTCTCTTTAGCAGAATGAGTATCACATATCATATCCCAGATTAAAAAAGAGTTCTAAGCAGGCCATGCCTCGCAGCTGAGGCTATGCCAGAGCACAGCTCGAGCACTGCCGATGGTCACTGAGGATGGGTTTTTGCTGAGCTGATCTCCAGTGCTGTTTACTGGGAGCTGTTTCCAATAAGCAGTGCAGGCAAGGGTACTCTTTTTTGGTGGGGCAGAGGCCTGAGTCACAAAATAACAGAATCATTAGGGTTGGAAGGGACTTATGGAGACCATCTAGTCTATCTCCTCTGCCAAGGCAGAGTCACCTAGAGTAGGTTACACAGGAACAGGTTCTTGAGTCATACAGACGCAAGCTGAGTGGTGTAGCTTTCCTCAGGGCTCAAGAGTAGGCCCAGCATTTTCTTTTAGCCTCAGAGAGAGTCATTCAGAAAGGATCTTTTAAATCTTACTAATTACCTCTCATCCCACCTCCCCAGATGCATAATTGTCTAACCTGCAGTAACTAGACTGATGCCCACACCAAGGCTGCAGTGTTTGTGGCTCTTCAGGTTCACCTGTTGGATACTGCCTGTAGCATCAGGCTGTGGTCACTGTGTGCTTTGCCAGCATGGCCTGGGAATGGTAACCCCCAGTGGGAGGGCAACTACATCATCTAGGCATGGGGGTAGGGGAAAGAATGTCTCCAGTATTTATACTGAAGGAGTGGTGGATGTCTGTCCATCCAAAAGCTGTGGGTACAGACAGATAATTAGAAATGATGGAGTAAGAATAGTTTAAAAATGTAGCACTCTTCAACCAAAATAATAATTGGATGTGAGCAGCAGCGGTATAGGCTCATTTCAGAAGACATGTGCTCTTAGTTAATTACAATATCTCAAGAAGAAGAAAATAACCTCTACAGAGGCTCACTTCTTAATCATCTCGAACTTCATCATTTCCAATTGTCTGCAACTTACTAAGATTCTGAAAAGATTTATATGAGCCCTCTAACTGAATGGTTATCACAGTTCAAAACTTAAATTCTTGAAATGCCTGTACTCTGGCAAAGAAACTAGGAAAATCGCAGCTGAGATTTCAATGATTTTCAAGTGTTAGCAACTATCTTACACATAGATAACATGCATACTTTTGAAAACAATGTCCTTTGGAGAACACTCTGATTTTTTTTAAAACAACTTTTCCATTCCTTCATTGAGAAGAAGAAATACTAAAATACTGAAATAATAACTTCAGAATTATCACATAAATCTGGATTCAGGCTATTGTATACAAAGATATTAATATATAATGAAGATATCCCAAAGTTTAGGCAGCAGTTGAATTGCAAGAAAATATGCTTGATTTCTGGGATGTGCTCGCAGTCAGGCTCTTACCATGTAATGTTAAAAAAATAAAGTTGCAGAGGTTCTCTTTGGCTCGTAGGTTTTGGTATCCATTGTAAAGACTTGGATTCTTCCATGATCTTAATCACAGTGTTTGGTTCTTCAGCTGTGAATGAAAAAGAATAAAAGGTGGTATTTTCCCAAGTATTATCCATTTACAGTATTAGAAAGAATATACTGCCTTTCTGTAACTTGCCTTGGTCAATAGTGAAGTAATTAACTAGACTGACCATGAAATTATTATTGCTCAGAATTAATATCCCTATAACATGAATACGGGACAACTGACACCTTTCCCAGCTATTTGAAAAATCTCATTTATTCTAATTTCATAATTTGGAGATTTCCTGTGTGGTCATGCCAGATACAGTCAGATTGTAAAACAAGAAAACAGACAAATCTATACCAGAGCAGCTGAAAGATGATCAGTCTGAGCCTTAAGTTTAGAAGTGAAGCTTCCTCTGACTTGAAATAAAGAACAAAAAGCTCTACCAATATGTGTCTTGATGACACAAAGGAAAAGTGCTGCAAGGCAGATTCCTCACATGCAGAGGAACCTACAGAAGATCTAGGGATACCCAAAGAGAATGGTTGTGACCAATGGATATGTATTGCCCTTTCAACCAGTCCTGTAAACCAGTTAGAACTGAATTACTACTACATTTTTTGTGAATGTTTTACTCCCTAGGAGTGATCACAACCTTACAGTGAAGTTCCTGGCTGCAGGATTTCAATGGATGCAACAATGTAGGAAGCCAGACACACAGAGTGCTGGAATCACTGCTGAGTCAGACTTCATGTTGATAGTCCAGACCTTTGCATCCATTCTGGGAGATCTGCCAGTGTTTAGAAGCCAAAACCCATGTCCACTCCATATGGAGAAGGAAGAATGGCAGAGAAATAAATGGTGACCTCAGAAACTTTCTGGATTCCTAAGCAGACTCTTCCTAAAAAGGGTAGTCTCTGGATTTGAGTTCATTTTTGGTTGGTGTAAAGCTTAGTATTTTCTTGGTTATTAGTTTCCTGTCTCTATTTAGAGCAAAAATCACTGCTCTCATTCAATAGTTCAGTTATGCAAGATAATTTTCGTCTCACATTAAAATTTATATCTTATTTGTTATCCAGAAATAGTGACAGATTATTCTTCATTTCCTGACTGGATGCTCTCTGATATTGCTCAGGTAG